CCTGGTTCAGTAAATCTTTAAGGGTTGATAATAGCAATGCCCCCTTCCCCTCAAACAGCTTTTTCAAGGGTATCCTTTTCATGGAAGTTGTTTTGGGGGAGGGTCAGCACAGCATGTCAGTTATTAAAATTCCTGGGTACCAACATACAGATGTTCTCTACCTTTACTGCTGAGGGCAAGAACTTGTGAGATGTAGCTCAAGAATAGGGGTCTGCACGATTTAGGCTATTTTAATTGAGCTATGCAATCTGTTTGTGGTGTGCAGGGGATCTCATTTTTGTTTCTCCCTTTTCTGAATAGGTGAACGTTTGGCTAAGCCTGAGAGAGGCAAAATGCGAGTCCATAAAATTTCCAACGTGAACAAGGCCCTGGATTTCATTGCTAGCAAAGGAGTCAAGCTGGTGTCCATTGGAGCAGAAGGTAAAGAAGCCACTTGCCTGGTTCTAGACCTAGTTTGAGTGAACCATCCCTCCTGATCTGGCATACCGTGTTGTTTTGCTCCTCCCTTCTCTTGTTTAACCAAGCTCAGGCCATTCTCTGCTGGGACAGTAGCAGGAGAAAGCATGTTGGCTTCTTGAGATTTTTATATCCCACTTAAACACCATCCTTGAAGATCTGACTGCAGTGTCTGTGGGAGTATAATTGTGCAGTTCCTTGCACTTTACTTGACCATTTCTTCATATATTTACCCTGAGTTATGCTCTGAACCAGTTGCAAAGTGTACAGTTGTGTTCACAGGTATCAAAAGTGGGAAGTTTCAGTATTTCAAAAAAGTTTTCTATTCAAATGAGAACACCAGCTGACAGAGAAAGGAAATTCTTACATGAAAATGAAGCAGGTGGCTGTGCCTCAGGAGTCAGGGCTAGAGGAGACCCCTAATATCTACAGCTGACTCTTCTACAGGGGAGCTCATGTGAGGAGTAGGTAAGACCCTGATATCATGCAGGGAGCTAAGAAGCTGTGAAAACTCTGGCTAAAACAGGCACTCTCAGGACTTCCAAAGCTTCCAGCTGTGCAGCCTGAAAGCCCTTGGAGTCATGGCTAAAGTGAGGGAGACCCTAAGTCTTGAGAGCCTCTAGTATAGTGATTCTTAACCAAACTGCCAGAGCACCCTAGGGTGCCTTGAGAATGTGTAGAGTCCTGTGGCACCCTACGTTAGCACTGTTAGGTATGCAAACATAATTCGCAAGATAAACCATAAGACATGTAGGTGGGACACAGGGGAGCACGTACTCCCCCTGAGATTGGCTGCTGCTGGCTTCTGTGGCTAGTCACTGCCACCCACCCCCCTTGCTGCCGATGCGGTTGCTGGCAGCTGTAGGCAGTCCCCACTTGCCGCTTACCAGTGCTGACAGCGTGGATGGCGGATGCAGGCGGTCCCTGCTCGCCACACACTGCTTACTCCCCCCGATACTGCCACACTGCAGCTACCTGCAGGCGGTCCTCGCTCACCGCCACTATGCCCCCAACACCACTGATCACCATGTCCTCCCAGCCTCGGAAGGCACGCGTCATTCATAACAGAAACCTTGAGATTTCAAATAGGAATCCACAGTGTTAAAAATGTTGCAACCCCCTTGTGGTCTTTGAGTTCTTTGTAACAGAAGAATTGCTCTATTATTTTTCTGAGATGAAAAAATGAATGAAAACCAGAAGCTGGTATTTTCCAAGGGGTTTCTCAAGCTCGTCACAACATGCCCAATCACCCTGGTTAGCTTTTCTTTCCGTACTTTTGCACTTTCTGGGGTGGGATACTATCTCAAAGATGATGACATATTTTTATCCCCCATAGAAAAGGTTCAAGTGTTCCAGAGGATACGAGATATTGCCAGGCAGAATGATTTTGCAGTGGCTAGGGGTACTTGTATTGCCCCTTTATATACTCTTTGGAAATTAAATCGAGGGGGAGAAAGGTATTTACAGTTGGATCTCAATACTAAATTGTGATCCTCTTTGACTAGACTCAGGACCAAACAGATGCCCATAGCTGGATGTAGATTTTCCATTCCAAGGGCTAAAAGATGTTGCCCCGTCTGTCTAGGAGTTTTAGAAGATACTATCCACTATGTTTTAGAATGTTCTTTATATGATGACATAAGCAGAACCTTATTTCTGTTCTTGCGGAAATTGGTACACTTTTCAAAGAGAGAGAAGTTAATTTGGCTTTTACAGCAAACAGATCCAAATTTAGTAAACCGTCTTGCAATTTTTGCTTATAAGGCTGAGGTGATTAGAGTTAAATATTCTTTATTACTGATATGAGTGATGCATTTTAATATTAGATATGATTTTAGTGTCTTTATTGTGGATCTGTGTACAACAATATTATAGATTCATGTCTTGATTTACTACTATATTTAAATTAATAATGTTTTTATGTTGGCGGGCTCTATTTTTAGTATAATATTTGTAGTTCAGTTACTTTGTTCAAACTTATGTATATTATGGTTGTATGTGTGTTATGTCATTTTCGGGAGCATGGCATTTAGCCAGGATCCTTAATAAATTGAATTGAATGGAATGGGGTGCCTTGAGTCTAAAAAGGTTGACAACCACTGCCCTAGCACCACACCCTCTGCACGTATTAGTATAGAGAGAGGGACAACTTCAGGAACAGGAAATCTCAGCAAGCTTGCTGATACAAGGCAGTATCTGTGAGTAGTCAGCTGCTATACTGGGAGTTGCTGCAAACATGTCTAAGAGAAACTACAAAATGGACAGTTTACAAGAAACAAGGTCTGTGCAGCAAAGAGAAATCCATTTTTTTCAATTAGTTTCTGTTATTTTTAGTTATGTTTGAACTTTTATCAGTACTACAGCATAAAGTAATGCTCTCCAGCTTTAAGGATGTGAGCTAGGTTCTTTGGTATCTTTCCCAGCTCAGCAACAAGTTAGCTGTGGGGTCTTGGTCAAATTTTCTAGTTCAGCTCCCTACCGACTTGAGTACTCAGGTTGCGTTACCCAGAGACTGATTATGCTCTTCTAGGAATTCCACATCTCTAGAAACTGAGGCTGTGGGCATCAAAAACAAATGCCCAGGCAGAGAAGCACTTGCAATTGGAATATTCTTTGAAAACAGTGGCCTTAAAGCTTTTCTTGGTTTATCAGTCTAGATAAAAAGGTCCTTTTGTAATCCTTGCAAGAAATGTGCTTTCAGTGCCAGTTAATAACCAGCGACTACTTCAGGTCTCAGTTAAGTGCTGTAATATTTGCAAACATAAATTACCTCCTCTTGATCTGGATTTCAACTCTATAACACTGATATCCTTCTACACCAGAATAGAATGTAGATTCTAAGTACTTATTTTGCCACTGCTCCTGTAGGACCTGAGAACTTCAAAAGTGTTTATGGGTTTGTTCTCACAGGGGCTAGGTGAGGGTAGGAAGATTTAATATCCCCAAATCTTGGAGTTTTTAAATCCACTTGATCTTAGCAGCATCCAGACACTACCTCAAAGTCTAGCCTTTTAGGCATACTCCTAGTATACGGACTCTTGTACTGGTTCAACTTCTGGGAAATGGAACCTCAGGGTCCAGCCATCCTATACAAGACCAGTCCTGATCCCAACCAGCAAGTCCCTCCAGACATTTAAGTGTGCCCTCTTTAGAGCTTCACCTGTGTGGGCAGTCAGATGTAACTTGGGTTCTGACTGCTGTTCTCCTCCAGGGAACCCCGGCTCCTTCTGTCTCTGTACAGTCATCTCTCCTGGTTCTGATTTCCCGTGGCTAGAGAAAGAGAAGCCATGTCTACACCAGGGGTTGGCAACCTTTTAGAAGCAGTGGAGCAAATTAGAACAGGTCTCTCCAGCAGCACTGGACCTGGCCACCACTGCTTCCCCTGCTGCCAAATTGCTGCTGATGTGTTTCTGACCCAGTTGCCACTCTTCCTGCTGCCAAATCCCCCTCACCACTGAATTGCTGCCAGCATCCAGGATTTGTGGGTCAGATGCTACCCACAGGTTGTAGATTGCCAGCTCCTAGTATACACACTAAAATTTTCCTGGAGCACCCTGGAGTGAGTACCTTCAAGCACCCTGTTGAGGTCCAAGTGGGCTTCCTCCTTGCCCAGAAGGAGTATAACCACCTCCATGTGGCAGTTCCATGTGGAACAGGTTAATATGCACTGCTGAATGCGTGTTAGCTTGCCCCAGGTGTCTTGTAGATGTGGCTACATGGCTTCTCATTTAGGAGGCAGCTCACCCAGAGCATCGCAGTATGCTTGAGGTTGTTGACCTTGGGGTTGCTTGGCTTGCTGTATAGATGTAACCAGAATCTGGTGTTATCACTTCTCGGCCTCTTGAAGGCTCAGATCAAGTGTACTGGATCCTGAAGACCTGGGGTGACAGGTTTGGGAGTCTGTCTAGCTGAACTTAAGAATTTTAGCTTATTTTTTGAACTCTCTGCAGGCTTACAGCTTTGCTAATATCTTTCACGCAGTTGCCATATTAGACTGCATCACTCCTCTTGTGTTATATGGAGGGAGCCTAAGACTTCAGTCTGTGCCTGAATAGGAGAATCATTAAAGATCATCAAGAGCTAAATAACCTTTTCCTTTTCCAGTGGAGACTATCAGACAAACGCTGTTGATTTGCTGAATGGCTCTCAACTGTTTTAACAAACTCAGAGGACAGACATAGCTACAGCTGGTGGAAGATCAGAAGTAGTCCAGGAGAAGAGCAGGAAGAGAATAGATTGAAATCTATTAGTAGATGTTAAGAGTTATGAATCCAAAAAGATGACAAAGCCTGTAGGGAAATACAGATCACCCGAGTGATGGACTAACATAAGGGGATGGGGGGTGAGGTGGGGAACAACTAGGTTGCAGAAAATACAAAAGTTAGCCAACTAAGCCAGAATCCCAAACCAGTCACCCCAGGTCTTCAGGATTGCCCATGGCCATAAATCCATCCTTCCTCCTTAGGCAGGCCCCTTCTTTCAAAAAAAGGATGGGATGGAGGCGGTCTGCACACAAGATAGGTGTCTTTGTTTGCCCCTTTGCTTTACTGAAAGGGCTAAGACGATGCCTTACCCAGTTACCATCCTCCAAGTCCTATGGATGCCTGTACATCTGCAGGACACCTGCTCCAACGTGGTCTAATTTGGCCTCCCCATGTTTCAAAATGGTGGTGGTGGTGCTTTAACTAAAGTCCATCAAATGAGCTTTAGTTAAAGTGCCCCTGCCACCATTTTGAAGCACGAGACACTGAATATACCCCAGAGCATGTGTAAAGATGACTTATGAGCCTGTTCATAGAGCAAAACTGTTCCACTGTAGTGCCCTTGTTCAAAACTCTGATGAAGCTCTGTAGAACTAGGATGCAGGTTAAAATTAGCTGACTAGTGCAGGGCTGTGGAGGGACCCTGAGATTGGCATAACCTTCTATGGCATGAGGCAAGTGCAGGACAAAGATTCATTTGGA